CGCAGACGAGACGGCGGCGGACCAACCCAACCTTCGCGCTAAGACAGCAAGGTGAGGTAGGTAGCTTCAGCCTTTCTCCGTCTGTCTGGTGGCCAACACGGCAGGAAGGAGACAGTGCAGCCGCAAGCACGCGGGCGGAGGCACGGCGAGCGTCCTGCTCGCTGGGGCCTGGCTGGCGGGCGCGGGGGCGGGGGCAGCGTGGCCTCGCACGTGTGGTGCGCTGTCGGGTGCACCATTAGCCACGGCTAGATTCACTTGAGCCTCGGGCCCTACCCACACGGCTGGACCGAGGTATAAGATCGAGGTCGGCTCGGGGAGGATGCCCTGCTGTTCTTCGGGATCGTTGGAAGCTCGTGTGCATCTTGGGTGAAGGTACCCTTCGAAGCTCTTTGTGTTTTGGCCAGCGGAGGATACCATGTTATTGGCGGATGTTATTATTTCCTCAGTCCGACTATACTTCGTTTGCTATCCGAAATCAGAAAGGCTGAAGGGCGTTAGAATATCTGGCCGTCGTTCGCGAAGAAAAGGGGCGGCGCGGCCAGTATAGAGCAGGGCGGGGCATCAAAGAACGAAAGGGTAGCAAGAGAGAGCTACAGAGCGGTCCTGACCCATCCCGCCCGAACCTAATTGAAACCTCCCTCTCCCGAACCTGGGAGTCGCAGTGATCTGCGGTGAGCTGGGAGCGCTGTGGGTCGATCCACGACAGGAGAGCACGCGCACATCTGGGCAAGGCTGGCAAAATGCGGAAGCGGCCTGGTGCGTCATTATGACCTCTGACTCGCGACTCATCCAAACATCTCACGCCTGATTACGACCTGGCACGTAGTGTTCGTCTCGCACTGTGTGGCCTTAGAGGCCGCTGCCGGATGCCATGCCAGGCTGAGGGACGAAACGATTAGGCCTTGCTGGTTTCGGGCTTCGATATGCACGTGCCTACTGCACTCGATCGAACCGGCCTGCGCCAAAGTTTGGGTTGACCGTCCAGGGAGCAGCGGTACGGATGTGCTGCGCTCTTTCACGGTCGAATTGTTCACGCTTGCGTGATTATTCTCGATGCGTGAATGGATCTCATCCCGCAGTGGGATTCGCACTGGAGGGGGGGAGCAAAGGCGGGGGACAGGGAGAGAGATTCTTCCAGAAATGCAAGAGCGTCAAGCTACTCTTGCTCTTCATCTGCCTCTAGTGGGCCACTGGGCCTTGGAATGGCTGTAGGACCCAACACAATGCTGGGAGCAGGCTGCTCAACTTGGGCGGGGGGGTCAAAACGCCCAACCTCTGGATCAGCTCTCTGCCAACGACGGGTATCGACCGACTGCACAAAGTCTAGGACCCAGCCTTCTGTCACGCGTGGGTAGGGGTCCTACCCCACATAAAAGAGTAGCAAGAGACTATGGAGCTCACCCTCCCCTTCCTGCATGTCTAAAGGGAGCTCAGTCGTCGCACATGTCGCATGCATGTGTGGTCTTGCATCCACGGTACTGCCCGCAAGCACACCACACACCGCCGGGGGGGCACGTCTTCTTATTAGGGTTGCGATTATTATAATTAGTTGTATTATTACTAATAGTATTACTGTGTGGTTTCTTATTGTTATCGTGATTATTCTTATAGTATTCTCTGCTGTGCGCCACTCGTCACATGTACGGTCGAAGCCCATGGGGACCTCGTGAGCGCCCCGTCCGTGTGAACAACACATACCGCGTCCGGGTGGCTCCATCAGCCTGCCGTTTAGAGCCACCCATTCGCAATGCCAGTGTTTGTGTCGGTGCCCGTGCAACTTGCCCGTGTTCATCAAAATCGAACACGGGCGCCGTTGGTGACGCTTCTGCGGCCCTGAGCGGCTCACACAGAAATGAATGTACGGCTGCTAGCTCCCAGCTTGCCAGCAGGGGGCGCTCCATCCAGCAACATGTGCCGACGAGTAAGGCAACCCCGAACAGTTCGATCATCGCGCCGAGCAGCCCATTGCTAACACGTAACTGTTTTATTTGTCGTGGTGTAACCGTAAGTTTCCAGAGCGGCGGTGGCCCACCATGCTCCGCCCATCGTATGGCAGACCACGTCTCACATGGCGGCCCTCCTCCTGAGAGGACCACACGCTCGGCACGTATGGATTCCTTCCATGTGTCGAGGGCGTTGCACCGCATCATGTTGTCTTGTCTAGGGTCAATGGCGATACCAATCGGCACCATGCGCATGGTGAAGTCTGTGAGATAGCGTGACCACTCAACACGTGCTTGGATGTCGCCTGGCCGTCGCCTGCCACAATACAAATTGAGAACATGAAACTCTGCTCGTCGCATGGCCACGGGAAGAGGGGCTGTCGCCATGTCAGTGCAACACACAGCCTGGTACAAGCGTGCTGGGTACCGCCCCTGTTGTGGGGGTGGATAAGGGCTATGTGCGTCATCCTCGATCTGCGCTTGCGGGCTGAGCTGCTCGATTGCATCCCTGCTGGTGTAGGGGCCGGCTTGAAGCAGGGCCCGTCGTGCGTCACATTGTGGCATCATAGCGAGGTTCTGCGTGACCAGAAGTGTGAATGGGCTTGGCGCCCTGGTCGTAGGTACGACGGCATGCCTGCGTGGTCTGGACACCTTGCCCTTGCCCTTGGTACGGTCCTAGTTATGAGGTGCGAGTGTGAGGTGGCGGGCGGGGCTGTCGGTGGCCAGGATCGCGACAAGCATGGCGCGCGGCGCGCGGTGCGTCCAGCGACAGGTGGTCAATCAGATGCGCTATGACGTGAAAGGTAGGCAAACACGTGATGCACTGCCCGCTGGTCCCAGCATAACCCTTGGCAATTGTAGACAAGTGGCGATGTCTGCACGACACATGTACTCGTAGTGAACGAGGGCGTGGGAAAGACCCATTGAGCCATGGACATATACGCGCTACCGTTTACCATTTCGTGGATGGTGGTATGATCATGCCACGCTCGTCCGTATACATACGTGCTGGTACAGCTGTTGCACGCGTTTCGTGAAAGACATTGGCCTCAACATGTGCTGCCCATGTGTCACGAGAGGACTGCTGAGCTGTTGCATGTGCACTTGTCTTGGTCAGGTGGTTCCACGCCGACTGTTTGCGCCGCAGCAGGGGCTCCCATGGGGCATGATCGTCACGTGGCGAGGGTAGGTCGGCGCATGCCGTCGTCGAAGAGCGTGGCCAAGCCAAGTCGTCTAGCAGCATTCCTAGCATCGTTCTGTTTCGGGCTTCGTTGCCAGAGGCTTCACACCATTCTGCTGCGAGCAGGGCAAGGCAGGTCTTGGCCTGGCGTGGTGAAGGGAGCCCAGCAACCTGAACTTGGCAGCGCGCAGAGCCACTGAAGGGAGTGGGCGTCGTAACCGTGCTAGCACCAAACCGTCTGAAGCTTGTGAGCTTTATTCCTGCAACCGCACAAAATCTGCAGCCTTGTACACCCTCAATACTTCTGCGTGCACTCGCCTATCTTCGCCTTGTGTCACGGATGGCCACGCGCCTGCGTTGTACAGCCATCTCGGCAACATTAGATTATCCGCCAACAAGCTACTTGGTGCATCGAGCTCGTCCGTGGCAAACCAAACACGCGTCGTCTCGGTACTTGTAGTGAGGAGGCAGTGGTCGAGGCTCTGTCCGAATCTCAGGCATCTTGGAGCCACAAAAGTCGAAGGCGAACCCAAGTGTGACAGGTGCGCGGACATGCCCGAACGTAGTAGACGTGTTGTACATGCGTCCACCATGCGTGTGCCATGCGCCATTCCGGGTGTCCTTCTTGCCTGCTCCTCCCCGCGTGATGAGCGTTGTTATCTTCGTGGGCCCCACGTTGAGCAAGTGCCCTCTGGCAGCAAAATCATCTTCAACCAACCCCAAGATGCGAGTGAGAGGTGGGTAGATTGAGAGTGCAGGCATGACGAGGACGATAGCACAGTCATCTGCATAGGCCACGTCAACTAGCGGTATGGTACCATCATCGCAGGGAGTTTCAGCCTTCATGTTCTCGCTGAAGAGGGCGGCTAACCCACGTGATGTGTTGGCGGCAAGGCGACTGGGTACATCTTCGGCCTCAAATGTCGAGCGCACTTCAGTCACACAGTCGACCATCTGTATTTCGTAGAGCACAGTCAACGCGCCTAGTGAGGACGCGCGCTTTCATCTAGGGTACCCGTGTGTCCTTGCCTCTGTGTCCCCGTCTTTTGCCGTTTTCACTAGCCGCCCGCCGTCCAAAAAATCCCAGCTTGGGCCTCCAAGGGTCTTGCGTTCTTGCCACCCGTCCTCCATACACCTTTTGAACGCCTGTACGTCAGAGAGGGAGGAGGGAAGGGGGGGGACAAGCGAGGTGCACTCGCGTCATGTCTGACGTCCTACCCCTCCCTCCCATCCCTTACCACGGCGTAGAGCAGGGCAATGATCCCGCGAGGGTGCGCGATGCATCGTAGAGCACGGCATAGCAGTACGTAGATGACCACGGCAGAGCGTCGTATGTCATAGCATGGCGTGGCGTCGCGTAGTGAAGAAATGCATCACAAAGCCTTGCAACGCAACTAGTGGCATCGCACAGCGGCACAGACCAGAACATGTCATAGCATGGCGTTGAAATTCAAAGCGTAGCATGGCATAGCATGGCGTAGCATTGCGTTGTCAAGCATTGCATATCCTAGCATTGCAGCTGAAGACATGGCATCGCACAGCGGAGCACCACATAGCATTGCATTGCATGCCGTGGCATGTCATTGGAAATAATGACGCCAGCGTTGCAGCGGGAGCACACTTCGGAACGAGCGGAAGCGCGGAAATGAGGCTAGCGCTGCAGTGGGAACACGATTCGGAACGAGCGGAAGCCCGAAAAAGAGGCCAGCGCTTCAGCGGTTGCAACATCTAAAAACAACAGCGAAAAAAGCGAATACCCAATTCCCAGGAATTCTGTGCATAAAAAACCGCACGCGGAGGGGGACCGACCTTCTGGACGTCATCAGAGAAGAGGGGAGAGTAGTACTCATGTTGTGTAATTGTGGAGGTGGTGGAGGAGGAGGAGGAGGAGGAGGAGAAGAACTGCTGGGGAGGAGGAGGAGGAAGAGGCCTTGGAGGAAGAGGCGGCGGAGGAGGGCCTCGCCGCCACGGCTGGATCCGCCTCGGCATCCCGGCCAGGACGCGCTCCGGGAGAGGTCCTGGGCTCGTCGTTGTCGGCGCTGGCGCCGGCGTCGGAGCCGCGCTGTCCGCGTTGGGCAGGAGGGGCTCCAGGAGCAGGAGGGAGGAGTCGGTGGCGGAGGAGGGCCGCTGCGGGGACCCGTCACCACATCTCGGCGGCGAGCGAGGGGAGGAAGTGAGAAATTTTCCCCTTTCAAACAGACCAGCCACGCTTGATTATTGTATCGTCTGGTGTGTTGTCGCTGGCACAAACGAAAGCTGCAAAGACAGGAGTGTGGGGGAGGAAGTGAAAGGGGCGGGCCTTCTCAGAAGGCTCGGAAGTCCCCCGGCCTTCTGAGAAGTGTTCTAGGTCTTCCCGTAGACACAGCAAACCTCTCAGGAGGCTGGAGGCCTTCTGAGAAGCCCCGCCGCCTTCTGAGAAGGCCTTCTCATTCTCATTTCCCCCCTCGCTCGCGGCCGAACATCTGGGCTCGCCTCGACATCCTGGTTTGTCAGGGCGCGCCTTCTGGGAGAGGCCCGGCACCTCGTCGTCGGCACCCGTCGTCAGCGTCGGCGTCTTCGTAGTCAGACGGCCTCGTCGTCGGTCGTCCTTGTCGGCAGCGGCTTCGCCGCTGGCGATGGTTTCGGCGTCGCCAGCGTCGTCGTCGCAGTAGTAATCGGCGACGGCAGCGCTGGTCGTCGGCGTCGTCGTCGTATTCGGCGTCATCAGTCGGCGCTCAACCTCCCCCAGAAAGAGGAGGAGGAGGAGGAGGAGGAGGAGGAGGAGGAGGGGGAGGAGGAGGGGGAGGAGGAGGCGGATGCAGCGGAAGAGAAGGGTTTGGGAAGCCCTCCCTGCCCCCTAATCCTCTCCCCATCCCATCCGCTCCCCCGAATTCCGACGTCGCGCTTTGTTCACAGCGTGGGCCCTCGGAGCTCTGGGTCTCCTGTGGGGTGCGGTCGGGCAGAATTGTCAGGCCCCCGGAGCTCTGGACCTCATTGAGGTGCGTACCGAAAAGAGCTTCCAGGCGGGAGCCAGGCGTGGCCACGAGAGCGCCACGATACGTCCAAACAAAATGCATGAGAGCCTCAAAATCTCCTACTCGCCGCCATCCCCCTCTCAACCTCCGAGCTCGCGTCTTTTTCAATTCGTGGTCCCTGGACCTCTCGACCGCTTCCCTGGGACCAGGCTTTCGTCCCGGATCGTCGTCGATGGTCCCGGAGAAAGCATCGGGCTTCCAGGCGCAGAAACGAGCGTCAAACCTCCGCCTTGCTTTTGTGTTCAAGACGCTGGAGGCCTGGGCGTCCTCGTCTCCCTCCTTTCTGACGGAGAGGCCGAACGAACACCAGAACCAGACGTAAGTACCTTGCAGAGGGGTCATCAGGGCCCACCTCGGGGACGCCCAGAGGCCAGGTCTTGGCGCATGCTGTGGTCAAAACCGTACCCCCTGCGACGCCTCACTGGAGGTACGTCGCCCCGGGGTGTGCTTGGGCCCTCCCCTCCCCCACCCCCCTGCACGCACAGTCTGCGGCGCCGCCAGGCAGGCAGCCAGAAGGTGTGATAGGCCCCGCCGCCGACCTCCTGAGGAGGGCGCTGCCGTGCCCGCGCGCACGGGAAGCGATATATCGGCGCGTGGGCTGTCCTGTCCTCCCCCCCTCCCCTCCCTCCCTCCCTCCCCGCTCCCCTCCACAATTACTCAATATGAATACTACTCTCCCTCTTCCCCTGATGGCGTGCTGGGAGTAGCCGACCCCCCCCCGCGTCCTGCTTTTTAACGCACAGGATTCCCGGGAGTTGGGTTTTCGCCTGCATTTTTTTTCTAAATGCTGCTCTCGCTGAGGCGCCGGCCTCATTTTCGGGCCCCGCTCGTTCCGAATCGTGCTCCCGCTGCAGCGCTGGCCTCATTTCCGTGCTTCCGCTCGTTCCGAATCGTGCTCCCGCTGCAGCGCTGGCCTCATTTCCGCGCTTCCGCTCGTTTCGACTCGTGCTCCCGCTGCAGCGCTGGCGTCATTTCCCGTGCCATGCCACAGCACACGCGCACACACGCACACACACACACCACCACCACCACCACCACCACCACCACCACCACCACCACCACCACCACCACCACCACCACCACCACCACCACAACCACGCACACACGCACGCACGCACGCACGCGCACCACCACCCACTACGCACGCGCGCGCGGAGCCACAGGTCCGCTACGACACGCGTCCGCGGATAGAGAAAATCAGCGCCATGGTAAGGGATGGGAGGGAGGGGTAGGACGTCAGATATGACGCGAGCGCACCTAGCTTGCCTCCCTCCCCCTCCCCCTCCTCCTCCCCTCCCCCTCCCCCTCCCTCCCCTGTCCTCCCTTCCCTCCTCCCCCCTCCCCTCCCCTCCCCCCCTCCCCCCCTCTCCTCCCTCCCTCCCTCCTCCTGTCCTCCCCTCCCTCCCTCCCCCCCCTCTCCACCTCCCTCGCGGCCGCGCGCGCGGGCGAGGACCTCCGGCGCGTCCGCGCGGAGCTGCGGAGCGCCCGCGCGGAGTTGCAGGAGCCTCGCCGGGCGGGTCGGGGTCGGGGCCGGAGCGGCGGCGCTCGCAGTGAAGGCTGTGGAAGTGGGGGGGGGGAGCGAGGAGGGTGGGGGGGAGAGCGAGGAGGGGGCGAGGACGAAATGGAGGAGGAGGAGGAGGAGGAGGAGGAGGAGGAGGAGGAAGGACCACGAAGGAGAAGTGGGAGGAGGTGGAGGAGGGGGAGGAAGGAGGACAAGCTATCAGGAGGAAGATGGAGGAGCAGAGGAGGAGGAGGAGGAGGAGGAGGAAGAGGGGGAGGAAGGAGGAGGATAAGGAGGGCGCAGGAGCAGGAGGCGGGAGGCAGGGAGGGAGGGAGGGTTGGGGCCTGACAAGAAAGGCGCTCGCAGCGAAAGCTGGCGCGGGCCCTCCAAGGACTGCCGCGAGCAGCGGGACGAGCTCGGCAGGGCCACCAGCCAGATGCGGTCCAAGCTCGAGGCCTGCGGCGAGGCGGGGCCTCAGGGACATGGCCGCTCGACCCGAGGGGGCGAGGAGGAGGAGGAGGTGGAGGAGGAGGAGGAGGAGGAGGAAAAGGTGGAGGAGGAGGAGGAGGAGGAGGAGGAGGGAGAAGGGAGGGAGAGAGGGTGAAGACAAAATAGGTGCGCTCGCGTCACATCTGACGTCGTACCCTTCCCGCTCGTACCTTACCACTGCGTAGAGCCTCTCTCTGCTACCACCGTATGAATTTTAAGAGGACAACAATTCCCAAAGCGTGCGCGATGCATAGCATGGCATAGCATTGCGCAGTAATTCATCATATGTCACAGCATTGCAGCGCAAATCATGGCATCGCATAGCGGCACATGGCATAGCATCGCATGGCATGCCATTGCATGGCATGGCACTACGTAGCCCAGCGTTGCATATTACATCTTTGCTCGCCGAGCGCGTTCCACTACTCGCAAAGTACCTATTCGCAAACGTCCCACAAACACGTGTCTGTTTTGATGTACGTAGCACCCCGCAATTGCGGATAAAAGTGAGGGGGCGGGCGCGGGCGACGCAGGCGTCGAGCCAGCGGACCTCGTGGCCCTCCTCCTCCTCCTCCTCCTCCTCCTCCTCCTCCTCCTCCTCCTCCTCCTCCTCCTCCTCCTCCTCCTCCTGCTCCTCCTCTTCCTCGTCCGCGTCCTCGTCCTCATCGTCGTCGTAGTCGTCGTCGTCCGCCTCCTCCTCCTCCTCCTCCTCCTCTTCCTCCTTTTCTTCTTCCTCCTCCTCCTCCTCCTCCTCCTCCTCCTCCTCCTCCTCCTCCTCCTCCTCCTCCTCCTCCTAACAGGACGCGCAGGGTGCCAGCCGGAACGAATGCAAAAGAACCCGCCGCAGGCGCCGAAGTTTTGGCTTGTTCAGTGAACGTAGTTTGAGTCGCGGGTGGGTCGCGGGCTCTCCATCTCCACCTGGAAGGAATTCAAAAAAAGCCCGCCACAGGCGCCGAACATTTCGATTTGTACACTGAACGCGGTTTGGGTCGCAGGTTCTCCACCTGGAACGAATGCAAAAGAAACCCGCCGCAGGCGACGAAGTTTTGGCTTGTTCAGTGAACGTAGTTTGGGTCGCGGGTGGGTCGCGGGCTCTCCATCTCCACCTGGAGGAAATTCAAAAACAGCCCGCCACAGGCTCCGAACATTTTGATTTGTACACTGAACGCGGTTTGGGTCGCGGGTGGGTCGCAGGTTCTCCACCTGGAACGAGATGCAAAAGAAGCCCGCCGCAGGCGCCGAAAATTTTGGGTGGGTCGCGGGGTGGGTCGCGGGTGGGTCGCGGGTGGGTCGCGGGTGGGTCGCGGGCGCGGTTCGGGTCGCGGGTGGGTCGCAGATTCTCCACCTGGAACGAGTGCAAAAGAAGCCCGCCGCAGGCGCCAAAAATTTTGGGTGGGTCGCGGGGTGGGTCGCGGGTGGGTCGCGGGTGGGTCGCGGTGGGTCACGGGTGGGTCGCGGGTGGGTCGCGGGTGGGTCGCGGGGTGGGTCGCGGGTGGGTCGCCGGTGGGTCGCCGGTGGGTCGCGGGGTCGCCGGGGGGGTCGCGGGGTGGGTCGCAGGCGGGTCGCGGGGTGGGTCGCGGGTGGGTCGCAGGTGGGTCGCGGGTGGGTCGCGGGATGGGTCGCCGGTGGGTCGCGGGGTGGGTCGCCGGGTGGGTCGCGGGTGGGTCGCGGTGTGGGTCTCGGATGGGTCGCAGGGCGGGTCGCGGGTGGGACGACGACAACAACAAACAACAACCACAACAACAACAACAACAAGAATCCGCATCGCGGAATTCCACTTCAGCCACACACCCAGGGACATCCAATAACCGTTCGGCTCAATCCCCTCACTTTGATTTTATCGTAGACCACCTGTGGTCGTAGATCACCTGTGGCGGATCCAGGCCATTTGCGAGTAGCTACTTTGCGAGTTGTGGAACGCGCTCATCTAATTGCAGAGCCATGCATGGAACTGGATCATTACGGCACATCGCATTGAATTGCAGACATTGGTTGCATGGACAGTGCAGCGGGAAACCATGTTGAAGGCCAAAACGCGACAGCTGGACCAGCGATAAGGACCGCAAGCGCGCACACGAGGCCAAAGCTGCAGCGGAACGGCACAGCTGGACCACCAGTCTGGAGAGCCAAAAAATCGTAGACGGAGATCAACGCGACAGCGGGACCAGCATTGAGAAGGGCCGCGGGACTGGGCACGAGGCCAACGTCGAAGCGGGGGCGCCATGTTGAAAGGACAGGGAACGCGGAAATGGTGCCGACCCCATAGCGGGAGCGCCATTTTGGAAGGAGCGCCAACGATCTGGAAAAACACACCAGAAAATCTCGCCCGCGCAGATCATGTGTGTAAAAACCCGTACGCGGAGGGATAGATTTGAGAATACACATTATCCCAGTGCGACCCTACCTAGGAGTTGGAGCATTTAGGAAAGCAACATCTACATCTACACCGACAGCTACATTTACATCTACACCTGCATCTACATCTACATCAACATCAACAGCGAGACTCACATTTACATCTACACCTACACATACATCTACACCTACATCTACATCTACATTCACACCTACATCCACATCCACATCTACACCTACACCTACGTCTACATCTACATCTACACTTTCGCATTGGTTTTGTTGTTGCGTTGCATTGCCTTTGTTGTTGCTTGTGCCTTTGCGATTGCCTTTGCCGTTGCTATGCTATGTTGTGCGATGCTATGCTATGAGATGCTATGCTATGCTGAGTTATGCTATGCTATGCTTGGCTATGCTATGCTCTGCTGTGCTAGTGCTGCGCTGCGCTATGCTGCGCTAAGCTAAGCTAAGGTAAGTTAAGCTATGCTAAGTTAAGCTAAGCTAAAGCTAAAGCTAAGCTAAGCTAAGCTAAGCTAAGCTAGGCTAGGCTAGGCTAGGCTAAGCCAAGCCAAGCTAAGCTAAGCTAAGTTAAGCTAGGCTAAGCTCGGCTAGGCAAAGCTAAGCTAAGCTAAGATGGGATAAGCTAAGCTAAGCTGGGTGAACCCAGGGGGCGCAACCGGGGGAACTGCGGGGCGGATCCTGGGGGAACCGCCCAGGGCGCTTTCCACTACCCGGCCCTTTAAGCACAGAGGGTAAAAACCCTTCTAGGCAGAGCCTAGGTAGGGAATAAGAAAAGCTGGTCCGCGCAAATCATGCGCGTAAAAAACCATACGCGGAGGGGGGCGGACACCCTCAGCACATAATCGGGGAGCGGAGAGTAGCAATCATAGTCCTCAAACAGTGCTTACGCTTAGGGGTTCTTAATTGTTTTCAAGTGTACTGGGCTGGTGTGCCGCTCTGGTGACTAGGTGGCTGCCGCCGCCGCCAAGTCCCCGCCTCGTCGCCGCCCGTCGTCTGAGCCGGTGTGGTGGTCTGGCGGCTATGCAGTCGCCGTCGCCGCCCCGTCCCCGCCTCGTCGCCGCCCGTCGTCTGGGCCGGTGTGTCGGTCTGTCGGCTATGTAATCGCCGTCGCCGCCCCGTCGATGCCTCGTCGCCGCATAGATTGCGCGCCACATACATTGCACCACATAGATGGCAGAACATGGGTTGCACGACATCTATATTGGACAACACATACTGCACCACATACATTGCACCCTGTATATTGCACAGCACAGACTGCACAACATACATTGCACATAATGATTTGTACCACATGGATTGCACCAACTAGATGGCGCCAACCATATTACACCACTTACACTTATACCTATACATATATATATATATGTACATACATATATATGTGTGTAGTTTACCACGTCGATTGTCGATTGCATCGCATACATTGCGCGCCACACGAACTGCACAAATTATAATGCACCACATTGATTGATTCCACAACATAGATTCCACAACATGGGCTAAACCACATACACGGGACCACGTCGATTGTATCGGATAATTTTCGCACCACACAGATTGAACAACATAAGGTGTGCGACACGGTTTGCAAAACATAGATCGCACCACATTGATTGCACCACATAGATTGCACAACGTGCATTGCACAGCATCGATTGCTAGGAACACACTGTTTATGGGGTCCACGCTGGCACACGTTGTGCAATTGTGGAGGGGGGCGAGGTGGGGAGCAGTCTTAGATGGCTTTGCGAAGGGGGGGGGCAGGTCTGGAGGTCCTGGGCTGCAGGAGGGATTCTGAACGGGTCCTTGAAGGGAATCCACGTGATCCAGTGGCTTCCTGGAGGACACCCCGGAGGGCCCCGCGGGCCTAAATCGTAGATTTCCGCTGGGTCTCCTGCGGGACCCGGGATTCTCGCGCTTCTCAGCCGCCTGGACCCCCCCAAGACGGCCCAAGAGGCCTCCAGGATCGCCCCGAGGCGGCCCAAGACGCGCCCAAGAGAGCCTCACGGCACTGGGGAGAGCGGATGGTGCCCTATGACCGTTCGCGCGTGTCTTCGACGTTGCCTGGGCGCTTCTACGGCGGAGGTCTGGAGGGAGGGAGGAGGAGTCCCCAGGAGGAGGAGGGCGAGGAGGGGGAGGAGGAGGAGGAGGAGGAGGAGGAGGAGGAGGAGGAGGAGGAGGAGGAGGAGGAGGAGGAGGAGGAGGAGGAGGAGGAGGAGGAGGAGGAGGAGGAGGAGGAGGAGGAGGAGGAGGAGGGGAGGGAGAGGAGGAGGAGGGAGAGGAGGAGGAGGAGGAGGAGGAGGAGGGAGGAGGAGGAGGAGGAGGAGGAGGAGGAGAGGGGAGAGGAGGAGGAGGGGGAGGGGGAGGGGGAGGGGGAGGAGCAGGGAGAAGGGAGGAGGTGGAGGAGGAGGGGAGGAGGAGGAGGAGGAGGGAGAACCAAAGGGAGGAGGAGGAGGAGGAGGAGGAGGAGGAGGGAGCAAGGAGGAGGAGGAGGAGGAGGAGGAGGAGTCGGGAGAACTCCTCTCTCCCCTCCCTGTCCCTCCGACTGGGGCTCGCCAGGCGGTGAAGCGCGTGGTGGGCGCGCTGGATGCCGTCTACGGGGAGCGGGCCGAGCGGCCCCGACGCGCGCGCCGAATCCGTCGGCGTCGTCCGCGCGCCCGCCGTCGTCGACCCCTCCGCCGCCGCCGCTGCCATCGTTACCGCCGAAGGCCGTCGTCGCCGCCTCCACCGCCGCCGCTGCCGCCGCCGGCACCGTCGTCGCCGTCCAGGACCGAGCTTCGAGAGGACCGGGGGTCGATCGCAGGCCTAGAGGGTGGCGCTAACACCCATATCGGCGGTGTGCCTCCATCGAGGGAACAAGATCCCGATTTCGGTGATGGTGGTAATCTTCTGGCTTCCAAGGTGACCGAAATATTACCACCCACACCGAAATCTGGGATCATCTTCCCCCTGTGGAGGCAGCCCCCCGTGTTGGTGCTGGAGCCCATTTCCAGCCCTCCAAGTCGGGGCGGTCTGGCGATGGCCCTTGTTGGGCCTCCTGGGGCGCCCTCGTGGCCACGGCTGCACACAGCTCGGAAAGCGTGCCCAGATGGACCCCGCGAGGCGGTCCAAGGCCGATGTCTATCGGATTGTGGCCATGGCCGCACGCACCTCGACAGCTAGCCGGGATGGACCCCACCAAGCGACTTTGAGACCCTTGAATCGGAGGCAACGATCGGGGGGTGATAGGCATCGGGGGGGGTGCATCGACCCCCAATCGCCCATTGGTCGCCGATAGGGGCCCGATAGCCCCCACCTGCCCAGGAAGGTGCGGATTCACTATCGGAGGCCTGTCGCCATTCTATCGGCGATGTATCGCCGATTCCAGGTCGATGCATCCCCCCTATGCCAGTCCCCCTCTATCGTTGCCCCTCATTGATGATCTCCACGGCGGGCGCATCACCAGTGTGCCAGGCACGGATCAGACGACGAAGCATGTTCTACACGTGTCGGCAAAGGTACGAGGTTGCACGCAGCTACTTCAGCACCAGTAGTAGATTGGGCGTGTGTTGTACGTTTATTCTTGTTCAAACGAATGACGAATTGAGCGTAACCTCGACACTTGCTAAAACGGGAAGACGTAGTTCGACACCATTGGCATGAGCAGACGGAATGTAACACGCCCATGCCCACGTGTGCTCGCATTTGGATCGGGGAGGTGCGTAAGAAGTTGCGTCAAAAGCTGAGCCCCGGGCAGTACATCTCACGACGGAGCCATGATCTTGAAGGAGCTCGGGAATCGGATCGCGCGTTGTCCTCGAACGAATCTTGCGCTGCAGAAGGGACGCCCAGGGATCGAGTGGCGGTGGAAGCCTTTCGTGTGCTTCCCAGAGCCAAGGCCATCGGCAAAAGCTGGCGGCAGCCATCGCGGTGGAGCCAGCCTCCACCCCTGCCTGCCTCCTCCCTTCCCCTTGGTGCCCCTTCATCGCCCGCGGCCTCACTCGCTCCCGCCCCGGCCCCTCATCCCACGCACCGCCCCCTGTCTCATCGCCCTCAGCTGCGCCCCTCCCCCCCCCCTTCCCTCCCCCCCCCCCGCCCTGCCCCCCTGCCCGCAAGCCTCCTCTCCTCCTTGGCCCCCCACGCTTACCTGTACGTCGGGCCTGTCCCTCTACAGGGGGAACATGCGTTCAAAAATAGTCAAAAAATAATATGGGGATGCTTTTTTCGTACTTCTGATATGTTTCGACATGTTCTGCATATTTATGATTTTTCGTCCAAAATCCAGCTGTAGGGGGACATGCCCGACCTAAGCTTACCTGGCCCCTTGCTTGCCTGGCATGCTCTTCGCATGCATGGGCCGGAAGCGTCCCCACGGCGAGACGAGTCCCCGCCCCGCCCCGCCCCCATGCCGCTTGCAGCCAGGCGGGGGGCGAAGCCGAGGCCGCCGAGGCCGGCCTGGAGGAGCTCTCCGCTGGCCCAGCGGCCACCCGGCCGCTTTGGGGAGGCAAGGGGGGGGGGAGTATCTTTCGGGCTTTGGCCTGGGGCAGGAGCTCGCAGGACTGGAGCGTGTTTCTTGTATTGCTCGGGGCATGAATGGGCATTATAGCCCCGGGCACCCCCTCCCCCCCCCCCCCCGTAACGCCCCTCCCCCCCCAGTGCGCTCGGGGCACTGCCGCCGTGCTCGCGGCGGGGGGGGGGAGGCGTCACATTGTATCCCCCCCCCCTGGCCCCTCCCCCCCCTATCATGCCCACTATCGCCGAAAAGAAAGAAACGCGCTCCTGGCATAGGGGCGGGGGTGATGGGCGGGGTGTGTGGGGGGGGTGGGGGGGGGCACGCGCCGACCACACCAGCGCAAGGCTGAGCCATGTCCCGCGCTTCCCGCCCCATCTGCGCGGCGTGGTCAGGAAGTGGCACGCTGCCTGCGCCTCCTTCGCTTCAGAGGCTCTCGCATGGGCCCAGGCCGCGCCGAGATTCGTCCAGGTTGAATGCCCGACCAGCCCGCCGTGACTCGATCGCGACGCCCGCTGGCGGAAAAATGCATGTGGCCGCGCAGATCGGCTGTTTCCAGCGAGAGAGCAGCACACCACCTGCCAACAGTTGGAACCTTCCGTCGCGGAGGAAGACAAGTTGTCGCGCACCTCCGCCACCGCGCTGTGTGCGGGGGGGGAGCGGCGGCCAGGGGAGGTGAGAGGGGGGGCGGGGAAGGGGCCGTGATCCCATCACCTCCGACCTTCACGGTTTGCTTCAATTTGCAGTTGGATAGTTGGAGACCCAACGTGAAGTGAGCATCGGCGCACGCTGTGTTCGGTGCGACAGGGGTCGGAAGGCGCAAAATCAAGTGAGCTCTCCGACCCGTACCCATCCAGCAAGTGTGCCGCTTGTACGGGCTATTTCGGGGGGCGGCGACGAAATTTCGCATCCAAGGTTTGCGCCGAAACCGTTTCCAGTGGCGTATCAGTAGGAGTTATTGTTTACGCTTTGCGAATTCCCATCAGCCCATTCAGAAGCCCTGCCCATGAGAGCTGACGGGAAAAGGGACGAAGAGACACATATAGTGAAACAGAGCGTGCCAGGAGAGGAGAGGAAGGATGGTGTTGAGCCATCTTGGAGGCTATTTTGGAGCATCGGAGGCCTTCTTGGAGCTATGGGGCTGTATTGGAGGATATTGGGGTCATCTTGGAGCTCTTTTGGAGCATCTTGGGGCCCTCGTGGGGCCCTCTTGGGGCTCTTTGGGGGGTCTTGGGGTCTTCTTGGGGCTCTTTTGGGGCGCCTTGGGGCACTCATGGGGCCTCTTGGGGCTCTGTTGGGGATCTCTTGGGGCCCTCTTGGGAGCTATGGAGCGCCTCCTGGGGCCATCTTGGAGACCATCGATCAAAGGAGGGAGGGTCCTCGATTTCCCTCCCCCTCCGGGGCCATCGAAGTAGCCTCTTGGCGCGCTCTTGGGGTCCTCCTGCGGCGATCTTGGGATCTTGGGGCAGTTTGGGGGGCCTTCGTGGGCCCTTCTTGGAGCGCCTCTGGGCCATTTCAGGGCTATCTTGAGGCCCCAAAAGCGCATCGAAAGCGACAATGCGAGAAGCCAAAAAACATCAGTGGTGTCACTAGGTGTTCGAAGGATTCTGGCTTCTCGGGGAGATCCTGAGGGGTCGCCAGAAGCACCTGGAACCGTATTGTGGCACTGTTGGGGCCTCTTGGAGGCATGTTGTGAGCTACATTGAGCCATGATGGGCTATCTTAAGCGATGTTGGAGGCCATATTGGGCTCTCTGAGGTCCTCTTGGAGCCATCTCAGGCTATCTTGGATACCCTGACCGCTTGCGAACCCTCCGTCCAGGTCCAGGGGAGGGGGTAGGGGAAGGGGTAAACCTCTCCCCGACGGGGAAGAAGGGTTCTTCGAAGAGGAAAGAAAGACATCGTTAGACCACCTGCGCCCAGAGGGCTGGTGGGATTTGTGGGATCCGTCGCATAGAAAGGGGTCGTTTAGCCAGACCATATGAGTTTCGCGCTGTTAGCCTCCAACGCATACTGGAGGTCTCGCCGCAGTGGCCGCGGCAGCGAACGATGAGGCACCGTACAAGCAGTGGCGGCGGACTGCTTTTTTTTGGGGGGGGGCACGTCAGCGTAACACCACATTCCAGTGGCAGTGACGGGCGGGGCACAGGGGGAAGGAGGGGAGGGGTGGTAGGGAATGGGGAAAGAAGAGGTGCCTATGGAGCGGCCGCGGCCCTTCCGGTGTTGCCAGGGATCCAGTCCCGCCTCCTCTTCCTCCTTCCCCTCCTCCTCCTCCTCCTCCTCCTCCTCCTCCTCCTTCCCCTCCTCCTCCTCCTCCTCCTCCTCCTCCTCCTCCTCCTCCTCCTCCTCGAGCCCGTCTGGGCCCTGCTTCTCATCGCGGGTTTAGCGGCCATGCTGAGCACGACGCCGACGTGCCGCAGTGCCTTTGGCGGGGCGCCGCCGCCTTGCCTTGCCCTGCCCGCAGGAGACGGTGCTGCACACCCCCCTGCTGGGCGGCAGCGCCGAGGCGGCCTCGGGGCTCTCTCAGCCCGGGGGGAGGAGGAGGAGGAGGAGGAGGAGGAGGAGGAGGAGGAGGAGGAGGAGGAAGATGATGAGGAGGAGGAGGAGAAGAAGGAGAAGGAGAAGCAGAAGGAGAAGGAAAAGGAGAAGGAGAAGGAGAAGGAGAAGGAGAAGGAGAAGGAGAAGGAGAAGGAGAAGGAGAAGGAGAAGGAGAAGGAGAAGGAGAAGGAGAAGGAGAAGGAGGCTGAGGCGGAGGCAGAGGCGAACGCGGAGGAGGCGGAGGCGGAGGAGGAGCAAGAGCAGGAGGGAGGGGAAGGAGGAGGAGCAGGGGAGGGAGGAGGAGCAGGGGAGGGAGGAGGAGGAGGAGGAGGTGGAGGAGGCCTCCGCCTGAGCAGAGGGCAGATGGCCTGGAGCGATGGAGAGAGGAGGGAGGAGGGAAGAAGAGGAGGAGTGGAGTGGAGTGGAACCCATGGCGATGCCAGTACAATCAACGACCACATTAAAGAGAGGACCGAGGCTGCCGACTATTAAGTTCGGCCTTGTTCAGGACCTTGGGGTGAAGCCCATCCTTGATGCGATCTAAATAAACTCTACCCGTGGGGGTGATGGTGGAGCACGGCTTTCCAAGGGACCGAAGCTGCTTGTCAGCTATTCCCCCATACCGCCCACAGAACCAAAGCTTCAAAACCAAGTGGTAATTAAGGAGATGGGATGAGTGTAGCCAGCCCCCCGCAACATGAATTCGGGCACCGACCGACGGGGACCAAATGGTGCCATCAACATTCACAAGGCGGGGGCAAGGGGTCTGAACCCAATCACGGGCAGCGGCCAGGGTGGCCGATCCGAAACATTTCAAACACTTACGTCTGCTTTCATCAAGACTGTGCTGGGACATGAGTTGGGCGAGGGCAGCAGCAGGAGGAGGAGGAGGGGGGGAGGTGGAGGAGGGGCCACATCCGCCCCGCTCTCTTTTCTCTCATGCTTCCTGCTAGCCACCAGCTCCGCCTCGGTCGCGAGGCTGTCCAGCGTGGCCCGCAGCAGCCGTAGTCGCACTCGTCGTGCTCGAACTTCGTGCCGTTGAACTCTGTGGCGGTCAGCTTCTGGGAGTCTGCAGCACGCTGCTGCATGGTCCGCTAGCTCGTCCGCCACCGTGCTGGCAAGGACTAGGCTTCGGACAGCCTTGCCATTCACAATATCATGTACCGTCTGGTGGCTATGCGTGAATTGGATGGTGATGCTGTTCGGATCCCTGGCCCTGAGGAGGTCGGCCAGCGCAACCAACGGGTCCCCGTCGTCGCCGTGAGGGTGCTCATACTTCCTCTCGTACCAGGCTTGCACCAGCGGCTCGTAGTCGGTGATGTAAGTGAGGTGGCCTGAGGTGGCCCAGACCGCCAGAACAGAAGCCCGTATCTCACCACGAGCCACAACCTGCCGAGGTCCAGGTAGAGGTCCAGCAATGGTGGAACAGACCTGGACACTGGGCTCGATGGAGTCGAACTTGGCGATGGCAAGGCCCACCCTCCTGAACTTCGAATTGCCCGACGCATCACCTGCAATCATAATCGGCCGAGTGGCCGTGCCATGTCCCATGCATTCGCTCGTCATGCCATTAATGCCAGAGACACTCCATTGCTCCTGAGCAACTGGTGGTGGTACTCGCGTCCACGGTTCAGGAAGAATGCCTCTCAACCAAAAAGCTTCACATAAATTCTCCTGCGTAAGTGCTTCATGAACCAAGTCGTCAGAATCTTGGTAGGCCTTGGAGCCTCGGTTGGCCTCGCATGTCCAGTACCGATGCACCAAGGTTTCAGGACCTGCACGGCATCGGTCACAATCGGCTCCTCCTGCAAAGTTCTTCACCATCTGCAGCTTCCGCGCCTTGGGCCAGCAGCCCGCCGACGCCACCATGACCATGGTCCCCGCCAGCCTCTTGCCGTGCTCGACTTGGCCCAGGTGGCCGATGAGGCGGCGGTAGGACTCGTTGTCGACGCCCTGCTCGAGCCCGCTGCCACAGTAGTGCTTGCTCGCCTGCTCCCACACCTTGAGGGGCGCCGCCTGCTGTACGTCAGCAAGGATACCTCGGTGGGAGTCGCGAACTTTGCAGCCTGTGAAAATGGCGTCAGGGAACTGCCACTCTTCGTACGTGTTGCTGCTCGTCGGATACGTCCAAGTCGAAGCCGACGCCGGTGTCCAGCCCAGCCGTATCAAATTCAAAATAACTGCAGAAATCGGACCTCGTACATTACGTGCCTGATCAGCTGGTGGTAGCGAGGTCATCTTATCAACTATCGTGCGCCAGACTCGATGCACCGACGGTCTGATATGTGCATGTGCTTGCCAGACCTGGAGCCACGTATCGATGCATTTGGTGGGCATCGTGATGGCTGGGTCAGCCCCGTGGGCTCTTAAGTCCAGGACCGTCGTCAGACACCGCCCACGACTATAGGAGGAGCGCGCCTGTCCCGGCCTGCGCCAAGCTGCCGTCAACTGGTGCCCGAACACGCCGTGCACCTGGTGGCCGTACAGCCCAGCAGGGATGCCGCCCTGCCTCTGCAGCTTCGCCATGACGGTGTACTGCCTCGACGCCTTGGTAAAGCGCCTGATCTTCTTACTCATGACAAGGTGCTTGGCTCACGTTTAGCCCGGGTTGCCCTGGCGAGGCGGCCGCAGCCGAAGTCCACGCCAAGGTACGTCGCCTGACGCACGGGCTGCACGTTGTAGCCAGCCTTCTTCACAGCCTTCGCCATGACCAGCGCGCCTCGGCGAGTTGTGCACATCACCGTCGACTTGGCTGCCGCACTCAATTCACGCTTTCCCAACTCACGACAGGTGTCGAGCAGGCACTGAGGAGGAGGAGGAGGAGGAGGAGGAGGAGGAGGAGGAGGAGGGAGGAGGGAGGAGGGAGGAGGGAGGAGGGAGGAGGGAGGAGGGAGGAGGGAGGAGGGAGGAGGGAGGAGGGAGTTGTCGGGCTGCCCGTCGTGAGCCCTTCACCGCCTGTCCGAGGTCATCCACCCGCAGGCCTGTGCCCCATGCGGGCGTTGGCCGTCGTGACCGTCGGATTGCAAAAAAAAGAAGGATTGCAAAAAAAAACGAAGGATTGCAAAAAAACCGAAGGATTGCAAAAAAAAACCCTCGAACGAAGGATTGCAAAAAAACCCCTTCGTTCAAGGGTTTTTTTGCAATCCTTCGTTCAAGTGGGTTTTTTTGCAATCCTTCGTTTTTTGCAATCCTTCATCACATGGTGCGCGAGGATCTTCGCGAACCTGCCAGAGCGGAGACCCTGGACCACGCTCTGGCTGGGGTCGAACGGAGCGCCGGCGGCTCCGAGCTGCCCCAGCGCGCGTGGAGAGATACACTGCAATAATTCCAGAAAAAAGGATAACCGGTGGGGCCCATGGAATTGAATCGTAAAAGGCTTCGATATCCAACATTCCATGTCCATATTGAATGCCCATATTGTGAGCGACCTCATCATCAATTGCGCGAAGAAGCGCCTCTTGGAGGCAAGAGTATCCTTTAATCGCAGCGTCCCAGTGTTGCGCCGTAGCTCGTGACCAATCTTGAACTCCACACTCTCTGATCTTAGACCAGAGCCGGCCTAACATTGATACTAAACCAATTCCACGATCGGATCCCGACTTCTTTGGAGTAAGCTTGACAACTACCAAAGCCGTTTGAATGGGCCAGGCCAGTTCCGCCTCCACTGCTTCAAAAATTAAAACCAGTTCTGCCACTCCAGCCGCATGCAATCTTTGAATATCTACGGGGGTGAGGCGGTCAATGCCTAGCCCAGTTTTTGCTTTCATCTGCCCCGCCGCCTTGAGTACCACGTCCGTCGCGATGGGAGGCAGGGGCCCCGCCTCCGCAGACACACGTATCTGACGAAACAGCTCCCTGGTGGCCGAGAGGTCTGGAGGGGATGGTGCCCACAGCTTCTGGAAGCCCCTGCCTTTCTTATCCATGATGTCCCGCGGGTGGAACAGCGCAGCTTCGCCCGAAACCACTTCCAAAGCTGGGAGCGGCATGGGCTTGAGTGCCTTGTGCAAGACACCGACTGCATCCTTCTCGGCTGCCCAACTCCGAAACTCCTGCAGTGATGGCACCAGCGCTTGCCTCTGGACCCGTTGTGAGACCCTCTTGGCATTCGCCTCGAACTATTGCAGAATTGGAACAGCTTGACACCCCTGGCCGTTGAGCAGCTGAAGCCACTCTTGCCAAGGAGGGTCACGACTTGCACGAAGCGGCAAATGAACACCCTCAGGACGATCGCCACAGAGTTTGAGGCAAGCCTGACGATATTGCTGTACTCGATGCGCTCCATGGTTACGAACTGCGTGACGTGCCAGACCTGCGATGACCGTGTGAACACGCGTCAACCACTGGGCCTTCAGATCCCGCAAGTGCAGCTGGCGTCTGTGCGACGCCTCACGAACCTGCTTGACCACAAAACGCGGTCCGTGGGTCCGACTGGACCCTGAAAGTGCTACACCATGGTGAGTGTTGACAGCGTTTTCCAGAGTCTGAACCCATGCCGCGTACATTCCCGATACAGACGAAGTAAGTGTTGGATTGAGCGAAAAGGCTACTGATGGCAGCAAAGACGAGTGGACCTATTCTGTACACTGGCCCCCAGGAGCGAAACCGACCTCCCGCCGACACTGGTCCCACAGGTCCCCAGGGATTCGAAACGCGGCGTCGGGCACGGCGTCTCCGTGGCCCTGGGAATTAGAATCATCACTCTGCTGCTTGCTATCGGCTACGGGGGGCTGGCTCAAATTCGGGGAGGGGCTGTCGGACACCAAACTGCCACCGGTGGAGGGGGGCAGGGCGTCGGCGCCCGCCGTTCCGAGAAGAACACCCCGACTCTCGTCGAGCTCAGGCCTCGCAGAGGAGGAGGAGGAAGAGGTGACAGGGCAAGGGCCACCAGAGAGATCGCCATGTGGGTCTTGGCCCCCGAAGGAGGGGATCTGACGATTGCTTGTCTGTAGATAGGCTGTTGCATCCTGA